ATTCATCATCCAGAGCTTTGTTTGTATATTGTAATATTATTTTATTTAAGAATTTTAGCTTAAAATGCAATCAACAAATTATCTATCAAACCATGTGAATCAGATTTTATGTAATTTGGTATACTTTAGATCAAAATAATTGATAAGTATATATAAGGAATAAGGATTACACATTAAATCATGAAAGATAAAAGTCAAAATTTCCACTATTAGTAGATTAGGGTTTTAACGAAATAGTTTGAGAGAGACAAAGAGAAGGAGAGTTAAATTAGGATTTGATTTGCATCTATTTGGGTTGACCTGGTAAGCATTCAAATTTTTTAATTTTTAATTTTTATTTTTTTAGGGACACTTGTCACATTACTTTTATGCCACATCAGGGGTAAACATGTACTTCCTACTCACCGGTGAGTAGGCAAGTATTGCCCTTTTAATAATTAGTACTGTTTTATATATTTTTATATATTAGTTTGTGCTAGTATGCGTAACAGACTTTTATCGACATTTTTGAGCTTAGTTGACATGAGTTCTTCTACTTTATGGTTCTTCTCGTGCATCTTGTGTACGATAAGATAAGATTTGTAATTTGCGCATGGTCAAATCTTAAGATTTTCTTGGCCTCTCTGAAGGTCTAAGGCGCCCTTTGGCCCTTTTGCTTTCCTTTTGTTTCTCTGGGCTTCGCTTCCTTTTTGAGCGTTTTTAATAAAATTTTACTTATCCAAAAAAAAAAAAAAAAATCTTAATATATCATTCATTTTTGGAGAAGAGAAAATTGAGTCCCTATGTAGTTAATTTTTTTTGGGATAAATTAATATTTTGAATTTTTAATAATAATTATTATAGTAGTCTCTAATCTCTATTAGTGCTTAATTTATTTAGAACGTTCTTTTGTCAACTCTCTAGCTTGATTAGTCTCTTCTGTCACTGCAGAAAGAGGTAGTGTGGCCCATGTGGGCTTCAAGTTCTTGGGATGTTGACATAACCTTTTTAATAGTCAATTTTATTTTTTAAATTGATGCTAATGAGAAAATAGGATTTATATATTATTATAACAAATCTATTTATATATTTTTAAAATTTTAAACGAACTGTTTATTGTATTTGGTATTTTTTAACAAATGCCAAAGTTTGTATAATTTGGTAAGGTTTTATTTGGTTGTTGATAGACTTCCCGTGTGTCTGCCACAAGCTCAAGGAAGTTGCATTTTGTTTTCATTTTTCTAATCTAAATTAATTGTACCAAAGATAATCATATTTACAACAACATGTTGATTGTATTTTATCACTTTGTGATTGTATTTTTGGTCCCTACATGATTCCAATTAGTAATGTATTGATTTTCTATTTATTTACGGCATTAATTAAAAAGGTTGTGAGCCTAAACAAGTTTTACATTGCTTTACATGATTAAAGTTCATGGTGCGTGATTTTGAGTTCCTTTCTATTTCAAATGGCTGAATTAATGTGTGTGACTATTTTATTCGGATTTTATATATCTGTATTCTATCATTGTTTGATTTTCCAAGTGTTATTTTTTGTTGATGATCTTGGTGGTTCTCTTTAAGTTTTACAAGTGTTTTCAATTAAATTTATGCATGATGAGTCTCGTAGGTATGAAATTTTAGTTAATTCTGTCACAATTTTATTCTTTAAGAAATGTTATGTCTAAATTCTTTTAAGTTTATCCTTTGTTTGGTGGGAGGGATGGAAGAGGGGGGAGGGAAGAATGCCTCCACTATCTTGTTTAAGGGAGAGGAAGTGGGAAGGAAATGAAGGATGGATGAGGCATCTTTTCGGCAGCACCATTTTTCATCCAACAGAGGAGGGAAATGAAGGATGGCTATTGTTTAAACAATGAAATGATATTAGCTACCCTTCGTCTAAACTTATTGAAAAATGCTTGGTTATTAATTTTGATAGTGGGGATCTATGGCAAAAAAAATTAATTCCTCCTCTTCCCTTTTCTCTTACCAAATAATGGAATGTGTCAACTCCTTCCCTTCCTTTCCATTCAACCAAACAAAAGGAGAGAAGACACATTCCCTTTCTTAGAGATGCCTCTTCCATCCATTCCATCCTCCCTACCATATCCTCCCTACCAAACGAAACATTATATTCTAAATAGTTTTAAATCTACATGGAATCTGGAGTAGTAATTGTTTGGATAGTTTTTCTTCAAATTCTGTGAACAAAACAAGGAACTTTCATCACATGTATTGAAAAGAAGTCTGTGGTTCAGTCACAATTACTCACAAACACACATCACAAATAGGCATACACACATCCCTTTCTGGAATTGACATACCTAACCTCTCTTGTCCATGTTGGTTTACAATTTTCACAGTTTTTTGCCAGTTGCTTGTTTCATATCCAGTGCACATAAAATTGGAGTTTTTGACAGAAGTTATTTTTTATCTTCTAGTTTTTGAAAAAGTTCCTAAAATAGTGTTGAGTTGAAATTATTTCCTGATTTAGAGCTTGTCTTGTGTCAGTACATTCCGCATTTGAGAGAGAGTTGATGGAGTAGAAAACTTAATTGTAAGCCATCTAATTGACAAAGAGGCTTTAAAAGTTTATTGTTTCAATATACGACACTACTTATCCTTCTATGTAAAGTTTTTATGTCAATTGCTCAGTAGCATACTCTAGAGCAGCCATTTGACACAGGCTGTTGAGGCCTCTTTTGGAGTATCTTCTTTAGCGGTAAGCTTACTTACCAGATTCCTATCTCATGCGTCATGGAGGCTTTACTTATTTATTAAATTTATTCTATTTAGTAGCTTTAAAATAAAAGCCTTCAGTTGAAACAGTTTAAAGCCTCCGTTTCAAACTGTACTTGTGAAAATATATGAAGCCTCCATTTCCATTGGAGGTTTAATGCATAATATGAAGTTGTCACTTCGGCAGGGTGGTTAAAGCATCTTTCTGAAATAGCGCATGTCTTGAAGGATCCAGTTTACTTGCCAAAATCTTATCCCACATAAATGATGTCTTAAAAAAGAATTAGTTGTTAGTTGAAATTAATGCTTTCAGGGCCTCTATTCGAAATGGAGACTTTATCTTTCAAGTATTTTGCTCCATGAGCTCCTCCTACGTCATATGTGACGTGACAGAAACAACATTAGATGGAGAAAATGAACCTTCTGGTGGATAATTTAAGGCCATCGTAACTATTGGTAATGTGGGAAAGGTAAAGAAAAATGCTTTAGAGCTGGCTCATTTTGTGCAAGGTGGGGAAATTTGTCGTTGAGTTGATAGGGTGTATGTAGGAAAGGAGGCTGTACAAGCAAAAGAGGGTTCAGGATGCTTTATAATCTGCATTTTTGTTTGTGATGTGATGCCTCTAGAAGGAAAGAACCAGGTGTACATGGATTGTGCCTCTCCTCCACCCAGGGGTTTTGTTAGTATGATTTTACTTGTCAGAAAAGACTGTTTGTTCAAGGCATTGAAAAACTTAAAAGTTTGAGAGTATATACATATATTGGGTGAGCAATTGTACAGTAATGTATTAAACAAAATAAAATGTACGAAATGTAGTAGGGTGCATACTCCCTGGATAAAAGAACCTTCAGCAGCTACCTAACTGGGTGACAAATGGCTAAATCTCAAGTGGCTTGTGCAGGATTAGAGCAATGTCTAGCCCAGAATTTGCCGCCCACCCACATGGTTGCGATCCAACAGAAGATTTTGATTCCAGTGGAGACAGGTATGATCATGGTAGCTGCGGTGAAGTAGGTATGGGTATCAGCGTCTAAGTCCATAGTAAACCTAATAAGCAAAATTTTCTAGTTAAGGATAAAGACAATATACTTGGCTTAAGGATAGACTTGTGAATCCCCCACCTGAAACAAATTTCTTAATTTTCATAGGTTTGGAAACCTTCTTCCATTTGCAGATCTAGTTCCCACAACATTTGGATTTCAATCATAATGATATCCTCTGTTTTTTTTTCTCATTCTTAAGACACTAAAATCTCTCTCTCCAAATGAATTGCGTTGAAGATGCCAAGGCAAGAGACTTTGAGATGAGCCAGAAAAGTATCCCATTTACAATTAAAGATGGCCCACCCAAGCTTAAACTCCAATTAGAGGGACTTCTTCCAGAAATTTATTGGAGTATGGACAGGAAATAAGATGTGTGTCAAGTCTTCTCTATGATTATCTTATAGCATCAAACACATTGGTTGGATATTGCAATACCCCATTCAGCCATCTTCTTGGATGCTTTGTGGTATTGTTAGTAACTTCTTGAACCAGTCAAAACTCATTGCAATTCATTGCACATGCTGTTTTTGTGAATTCATCTGTACTTGGTTTATTTTTGTAAGGTCATTCTTACTTGTCAATTTTTTTTATTTTTTATAAGGTCATTCTTATATTATAATTGCTGCTATTGTACCGAGTCTAACATTCTGCGATTTCTAAAAAGTGATGTATTTTTTTCTCATCTTGAATTGAAAGGTTTTCATCTGTCTCAAGGATCCTTTGTTGCATGGCTTACATTTAAGTTTTGAATATGTCTAGATTCTAAATCATAGGACATTGTGACCCAATTATATTGTTTGGGTATACACAATTTTTCTGTGTTTTGGAGTTAGGGATCATATCCGAGTGCAATGGTGAAAGTTTGAATTGACAAGCCTGAGCTAGAAGGTTCGTAGCAGTTACTTTTTGTAAAATAATGTCGAAGATTAGGTCTGTCTCTGGTCTTTTCCTCCCAACACTTCATAGAGAAGGGACATATACTTGGTAATGCACTTTGCTACTCCCAATTTACTTGGCAAAGGCTTTATTGGGTTATGTATTTATAGCAACTTGGTTAGATGTATTTCATGTAACTTAACATATTTGGCTTATTAAGTTCATTTATTTTGGAAAATCCATGTTAGCAGCAGGAGCATTTGTTGAATTCTGTTTCTATAGCAACTTGGTTAGATGTATTCATATTGTAACATGTTTGGCATACTAAGTCCATTTATTTTGGAACATCCATGTAAGCAGCAGGAGCAAATGAAGTGTTATATAGAGCGTGTTAAGAAGAAAGGGATAAATGGGCAATTGATGTATGACCTGCTTGGGACTTCTATTGCATTTTAGTTTGAGTTTGATGTTATTCTATTGTTATCTTAGATTAATACGGATCATCTTAGTCAGCTTTATTCAAATGTAATTTTGCCACGAAAATGAGTCAGGGTATGTATGGTTTGGTTAAGCCTTGTACTTCCATATAAGAGTTCTTATATTCTTGATAGCTAGGTGTATAGTATTGTGGTTTATGATTAGTTGTATTGCCTATGGCATTCAAAAATTTATACAATGTTATGCTAAACCCATCTACCAGGAAGCTTGTATTGGATGCATGTTGGCCTGGTGATTTTACTTGTTTCTTTTGTGGGATATTGACATTATGTAATTTGGACGATGGTTGCCGTGTACTTTTGAAAATGATTAATATTTTGGATTGGAGTTTATTAGTCTTGTGTTTATTTATTTTTGGAGTCATCTATGTATACACTCTTTGACTTGGATGGTATGTTTTGCAGCTTGTATCATTTGCTGCAAAGTTGAGAAAGGCTCTTTAGTTCAGATGGTGTGTTTGCAGGAATCCTCTATGAAGCATGGATTGGGATTTCATTGTGTAACATGGATGACTAAAGGTTTATATACAACATAGATAGTGATATAACATTTTAAGGTTTTGGCCGTCTCAATTATCATCTTACATATATTTTGTTCGTAATGGAAGGCCGGGGCAATTATCATCGTACATATATTCTGTTCATATTCCATTACTCCTTATGGTTGTTTTTTAACTTGTGTTCATTTTGGAATTTTGTTTCATCTTTTAACCTCTGTATTACAGATCATTGAATTGGTTTTTATACTTGCTGTTATTATTTATAGTTTTATCAATATCTTAGAAACCTGTTATTACTCTGCTTGCGCTTTGGTGGTGGACAGGGAAATGATACTTCTAATTGGAACTAATGTTCAATTATTTTGCTGCATGATTTTTTAAAAGTTGCTGGCCAATTCCAGTTGGATGGTTTCTGCGTGTTCGGTTTTGACATGTGCTTGTTTTTTTGTTGTGAACAGGGTATTTATGGTTTGGTTAAACCTAATAGCTATGGGATGTACATTAGTAAATCCCGAGCATCATAAGATTTAGTTGGTGTTATATTGCTTATTGAGTTATGGTTTGATTCAATGTGTTTTTTATTCTCATATTATTTTACACAATTTTATTGCACAATTTAAGAGTCTGGGATGAGATTTTAGTTTTGTTTGGTTAGGCGTTTTGAAGTGCGCTTGGATTGAGTAGTCGAGGTATGCGAAAGTACATGAAAATAAATCTGATATTGTGAATTGGTTTAAAAATGAGGAAGGATGGATTTTGAGGGAAATGAATAGGAGTTGGTGATTTTTAGTTGTGGCTGGTGTCTCTTTTACATTATCTAATTTTTAAGAATTATTTTAGATGATTTTTTAAATTTTTTGCTTCCACTTTTTTAAGCAGCTGCAAGATTTTAAAAAACACAAATTATAAACTAGAAGTACCTATCATAAAGAAATCCTAAAAAAACGTTTGACTAGGGCGTGTGATTTATTGTTAATGGTTCTTTATATAAATTTTTATTGATTGTGTAATGAAGGTAGGCATGTGTACCATCAAACTTATTAAATTGAGCGAAAGTTAATTCAAGACTTCTGAGAAAAGGAAAAAAGGAAGTATTGTTGGGCATATTTGTTATATGAAGGAAAAAAAATGTCACATTAGTGTTATTTGTTAGATCGGGAAACTAGGAGAGAAATAATTGTAATAATTCAAAATACAGAGAGAGGAAAGTGTAATAAATCTTAATTATTAAGGAGGCAAGTGTAATTTAACTCCGAGAAAAAAAAAAAATGTTCTAATGGTAATAATTTTTTTATATATTTTTACTATATTTATAAGAATAAATTTATTCTTATTAAAAGATAAAAGAATATTTTAAAATTTATAGTGCATTATTTAGAAAATTTAAAAATATTATAAAAAATAAAATATTTATTTTATAATAAAATATATATTTTGAGACGTTACAAAATAATTTTGAAATTTGCAAAAACGCAAGTGCTCGTCTCTCTCTATTGAAATTTGGGATTTCCTTGACCAAATTGAAAGTTGAGAACACAAAAACGCAAGTACTTGTCTCTCTCTTTTGAAATTTGGGAGTTCCTCCAAATTGAAAGTTAAGAACACAAAAACGCAAGTACTCGTCTCTCTCTCTTAAGACTTTCAAACTCATGTTCCAATACCATTCATAAAAAAATAAATAAAAAATAAAAAATCATGTTCAACGCTTACAAACCATTTTATTCTGCATTGTGAACGCCCACTGATCTCTCTCATCTCCGCCAAATGGAAGAAGTACCCAATTGTAGAGACAAATCACCACCACATAGCGCCGCCACAACATGTTGCAAGTGCGGCGGCCCCACCGGCTTCCCGCCACCTCCGTCATGTTCTCCGCCGCCCACTTACCGCCCCATCCGCGCCCCCGCCATCAATCTCCCACCCGACGCCAATCCCCAGCAAGCGATAATCCTCGCCCCTGTTCCACAATCCCAGAAAGTCCCCATTCTTTCTCCTCCCTATCATTTCCAAACCCCCACCAAGCAAATCCACTCCCCTGACGACATCCACCGGCTCCACCTCTCCGGCTCCGCCACCAACTTCCTCGGCTTCGTCGTCGCCCTCAGCGAATCCATCCGAGGCCACAAGCTCTCCGATTCCTGCCACCAGTCCCCCACCACCACCTCCATCGTCTCCGTCATCGAAACCCTAATTCAGTACGTTGACGACATCCCACCGGGCCCCCAATCCGCCCGATATGGCAATTTGTCCTACAGAACTTGGCACACTCGCATGACCGACAATGCCGACTCGTTCATGTTCCGATTCCTCCCGGACGATCTTCGGTCCGCAACCGTCGAACTCGTCCCTTACTTCGCCGACAGTTTCGGCAATTGGAACCGCATCGATTACGGTACTGGTCACGAGACCAATTTCGCTGCTTGGTTGTATTGTCTCGTGAGATTAGGACTTATCAGAGAGGAGGATTACCATGCTGTTGTGTCTAGGGTTTTCGTTAAGTACCTTGAATTGATGAGGAAATTACAATTGGTTTACTGTCTTGAGCCCGCAGGTTCGCACGGCGTGTGGGGACTCGATGACTATCATTTCTTGCCGTTCATATTCGGGTCATCGCAGTTGATCGGTCACAAGTACATGAAACCCAAGTCGATTCATAATGAGGATATACTTGAGAATTTCTCTAGTGAGTATCTGTATCTTTCTTGCATTGCCTTTGTGAAGAAGGTGAAGAAGGGGCTGTTTGCGGAGCATTCGCCGATGTTGGATGATATCAGTGGTGTGCCTAATTGGAACAAGGTGAATAGTGGGTTGCTGAAGATGTACAAGGCGGAGGTATTGGAGAAGGTTCCTATAATGCAGCATTTCCTGTTTGGTTCGCTCATCAAATGGTATGTCTTTGTCTCTGATCCTTATTTGTCATATGGATATTGAGCCTTTGATGGAAAATGCATGCATATGGATATGTTGGTGAAAAATTTGGGAAAGTTTGGGATCTTCAAGTCATGTCGAGACTAAAACTCAAAATGGTTATGCAGTAGAGGAGTAAATTTTTCACGTTGTTATAGTAGTTGCATGTTAGTCATCTATCAGTTGGCACTGTTTATGTTACATTTTCCAACTCCGAAGTTACTTTTGGACAAGCACAACATCAACATGTAGTTGGAAATGCTTTTAATGCTATTCACCTGGATTGCTTTTAGCGTACCGCAGAGTTATTTCCTTACCTAATAAATTTACAGATAAAACCACTACCTATTTTAATTAAGAAGGCGAACAACAGTCATATGTGCTCATCAACATCGGTGTTTTTTATAATCTTTGTTGCTCTATTATAATTATCACCATTGTAGGCGTTTGTCGTCAGCCTTGTTAATAGCAACATGGTGACAACATGTGGAGATATACTTGCTAGACTTTTTAATGGATGATGCCCTGGCCTTCAAACAAAATAATAATGGGTAAATAACACACACCCACTGGGGTTCGCACTAACTACACATGGCGGTTGAGAATGTCCTTAATTACATTGACCTCCCTAAGGTTTCACGCGTGGTAACCATGACACCCCTGACGTTAACTTGCTGATAGAACCGTCATAACTTTTTAATGTGATTGAGAATTTGCCCTTCTTTTGATTGAAAAGGCATCAATAGCTTTGTGAGATTCATAAAATTACAATAATACTCAAGTTATTTGTATATATTTATATATAAGTATGTAAAACATTGTTTCTTCTCTCTCACACTCTTGTTCTTTTGTCAATTCCATCACCACTATTAACCTTACCGTATATCCCTCATCTCATTTTTATTTTCTCTCCAACCACCATGAAAAATACCACTAAATCCTGTTCAAACCTACAAACTTATATAGACATCATGGGAGATCTTGGACTTTCCATCTTATTAGAGGTTCAAAGGCTTATATTTATGTGTTATATATATGTATGTAGATGAAGGTTTCAGAGTTGATCCTTAATGCAATTTTGTGCTTATTTGGATCTTTATCACCGCACGTGATTTTTGGTGCATCTGCCAGTGTGCAGATTGTGGAATACATTAGGCGGAAAGGGGCATGATTAAGTTACGAATGACCGCTTCAATTCCTTGGATTTTTGTTCTATAGTTTCTGCATTACATTGCTGATTGCAATTTGTGACATAATCTATCTTTTATTGTTTATTTTGTTGATTGCAGTCCTTAATGATTGCTTTGTTCCCTGATATAATAAGTTGGCTCATCATTTATCTGCCAAAGTGAGTAACTATCAGGAATTTTGTAAGGCACTGCATCTACTGGAAAAATGAAACAGGGATTTGTAGGATTTCGGCCGGGAAAGGTTGTTCCGATGAATCGTTTCTAGAGAGAGAAACGTGTGAAAAAGGGGAAAAAACACGTGGAGAAAAGTTGTTAGATGGAGAAATTGTATAGAACCAGAATATACCCACGACATATATATATATATATAGGGGGAGAGAGTATTTGGTTTCAGTTTGAATTCTCTCCTTTTTTTCAAACATCAATCTCTCTGTAATCCATTCACATGCTCAGTCGATTGTTCAAAACAAAATCTAATCCCGTCCATCTACGTATTGTTGCAAGCCATGTCTGTCTATTTTTTATACAAGAGAACAATGGATTGCATTGCTGATGCTAGTTGGAAAATTGATCAACTCGTGACGGGCACATGCAGAGATAGAGTTGGGGTTGAGATTTATATTTTATTAAATTCAATAAATAATATTTAGAAAATAAGATGGATGTTATATAGCATTTTATAAAAGAGGCAATATAGTAATTTAGTGCACCAGATCTTTTATTGCAGTTATGTTATAATGTCAAGGGTGCAAATGAAATTTCCACTAAATGTTGGATGCCTGTAGGCTTGTTAACCTCACCAAGGGAGGTCATTGTAATAAAGGTCATTCTAGACCCCTACGTGTAATTAGAGCAAACCTCAGGGGGTGTGAGGATAATTTGCCCAATTATAATTTTTTCAAACAACTTATTTGATAAATAATAATTGTATTAATAATAAAATCTATTGCATCCAAGTTTCTAAGTGATGTACTAATTATAGACTGATTATATTTGAAAACAAAGTTATCCAAGAGAAACTTCATTCTGGCAAGCAGGAGTTATTCTAGTTTCAGTGGGCTGTATGGCAGCAGCAAATCAGTGGCATGGGTATCTTATTTCTCAAGGTTTTCGCACCTCTTGTCCAAGTGAACCGGAACAAAGTAAGGAATGATTGTATTTCCTTTAAACTTCTGTATGTAGTGGCATGCGGTTTGCGTTTAGGACGGGTTGATATAGATCTGTCTATTCCCAGCCTAGATCTGGTGGAGTTTTGCATATTCTTTCCCAAAATAAGTTCTACCTCATTTAAGGATGCCATATGAGGATAGGAATGGCACCCTAGGTTCTGACTGTCAGAGTACACTAAGCTTCAAACTATGCCTAGAGGGTAGTGAATAGGTCTAAAAACAAAACTAATTATCACTAGCAATTTTAACTTGAATAATTGAAATTCAAATCGTAACAAAACAAGCACGTAAAACTCAACATAGTGCAAAAAATTATATAGAGCATAAAAGCATCCACACAAGAATGTCAATCTTTACCAGGAAAATTCAGCAAACTTAGTTTGGGGAGATCAAATCCACTATAGAAGAAAGGTTTACAAATCTATATATTAGATTTAAAACCCTAGAATCACCTAAGTTACTTCTGAATCTGATTCATGCTAGATGTTTCTCCACGAACTCAGCTACTGTCTATCAGTGTGTCTGCTTTCCAAATTGTGTTTTGATTTCCTCTGCTAGATGCAAATCCTTGTAGATTGTGTGGAATTTGTTGTGTTGAACTCCATGATGTACTAGGACTAATAATGATCAGCACTCATATGCTCACCATCTAGATGATTGATGATGAATTGAGAGAGACAAATTCTAGCATTTTGATTCTATGATGCAGTATGTCTATTATGCCCTATAATGGTTCGTGTATGCTCATATAATTTTCTAAAAACATAGGGACCTTTATATAGGAGTTTGAGGCTAGAAAAAAAATAGGGTGTAGGTGTTTGAAACCATTTTGGAAACTACCTAGCTGACCTATTCAATCAATTAGAGGTTTAGGATAGATGAAACCCAGGCCAATGAGGTGCGATTGATCCTTCAATTAATCAAAGTCTCCTGCACTTGGGGCACTGAGGATCCATTTAGATAAGTAGGAGGATAAAGAAAAGAAATGAGATATCAAGAACACTATGTGTGGGAAAGTTCTTGAACGAGAGAAAGAGCTTTTGATTTAGGCCGCTTTCTTTTTTTAAGACATTGAGGTTATTTTTGTAATTTTATAAATAGAGGGTAATTCAGTTGTTACATGGCTTTTGTGTTGGGTGGGTTGGGGCATTTTGGTAAATTGGAAGGTGGAAGGTAATTGACTCAGAAAGTATTGAGGGCCATTTTTGACGAAAAATTTTGTGTGCAGTGAAATTTGTTGGTCTTCTAGTTAGTTTGGAAAAGTTGTCAGTCAACCTAGATAGTTTTTGAGAGTTGGTAGATTGGTAATTACCAATAATTAAGTAGTCAATTTTTAAAATTTCCCAAGTTTTTAAGTCCCTTTTTCTGTCTTCAAGTGCTTTGTTGTGACTCGGATTTGCAAGATAGGGTTTCACCCCATCCTCGGAGATTGTGTGCTAAATCCTTCAGGAAAACCTGTATATTCACCTCGAAAATATTTTGACAATAGTTTGATACATCAATATCCTCAAAATTTATTGTTTTGTAATTATAATGTGTGACCTTTCAATCATATTTTCTGGAGCTCTTGCTCCAAGTGTCTTATGTAACTACCTTTTGTTATTTTGTTTAAGGTTTAATGAACTTTTTATGCTATAATTCTCAATAGGGAAGTTGCTATTATTATACAAGTTCATCAATAAGATAAAAAATAAAAAATAAAAAAAAAATAATGCAAAGGAGTTTACTAAAAATCCAGTGGGGGCGTTGTTAGAATTATAACAAAATTCTAGGTATTTAATATAAAAATAAAATTAATTCAGTGGGGGCGTTGTCAGAATTATAACAAAATTCTAGGTATTTAATATAAAAATAAAATAAATTCAGTAGGGGCGGATCCACCCACTCATCCCGTATAACTCCGTCCATGTTGCTATTTTCATAATGGAACGAAGAGGAGATATCATTAGGCGAAGAGTTCTTGCTTGGTACTTCTATACATACAAGTATATATATAGAGGGTTTTTATTATTATTATTATTATTTTTATGTAACTAAACATACTACTTAGCCTAGGTTAGTTCGTATCTGCAATTCCTGGTTTATCGTACTGTAATGCCAAAAGTTAATGTTATAGTTACTTTTCCTCTGCTGCTGTTTTGAAGAAAATTGATTGATTTTTTGTTTCTCCTCTTTCAGGGACTAGCTGGTGTATCACCTTTTTTTTAGGTGAGATGTGGAACAATTTGAAGAGGTTCTCCTCTGGACTCGATATATAGTGATTGTCAGTGGAAAGTAATGCACGTAGAAGTTACTTTTTGTGGTATGTGTCAATTAAGTTGTATCGCAACAAATGTGTCCCGCTGTTTTCATTTGCCTATGCAGACTCATGCTTGGTGAGGAAAATTTATTTTATATATTTTTTTCTATTTTTCCAGTTTTAGATTAATGGAAGTTCGGTAACGATAGTTTGAAATTACCCATTTATTATATTTGATGTATTCCTATAAGTAACGAGTTGATATACATTTTGCTTCACTATTTAGTTTCCGATGGGCTAGGACACATTTGTTGTTTAACTCCCGGTCCTCTTATAAAGCGTGGACTTCAGTAGATATGTTAGTTCCGTGCTGTAAATTGGAAGGAGGAGAAAGGCAGGGAAATGAAATAAAAGCTCGTGTTTTGTAAGAAAAATGAAAGGATTTGGAGGGAAAAGAAAGGCTTGCCAACTCCTTGCACCATGATTTTCTTATCCTTCCAGCCCCAGTTCATCTCATCTCCACTGTTTTGTTATAACAAAACATCAGCCAATGAGGATGAAGACAGAAGCCATCAAAGGCGGTTACTTTTTCTCTCTTTTGTGACAAACAGAAATTAACAGAACATCATTTTAGCAGAGGTATCAACATTTAGTATGTCCAAACTACAAACTGGATCACATACGAAATCAACTGGAGTACATCCTTCACTAACTAAAACATCAGCACTCTGAATATCTTCTTTAAACATATATTCCATAGATTGGCAGAATCAAAAACATAAAGAGAGATTTGCACTGTATTTCGATCCATTTCACAGGTTATTTGTACTTCCAGGTTCCAATCAACAGCTGGAGACTTCAAATGCTCCCTAATCGGCCATTAAGAACTAGTACTATATTCTTCCTTCTCCACCAACAGTATGGAAATGATTTATTTTTCTGGATAACGATCAATAACGGGCAACTATGGTCCAGAAAAGGCGTAATTAAATACTATATAGTATTATATTTAAACACGAACTATAATAATATGGGATGGAGCAAATCAGAAATCCAGTATACAGAAGAACACAAGAAGCTAATAACTTAAAGAGACTGATAACAGGATATACCAGTAACACATCTTTTGTTCAGAGTAGCTTGCTAGCAAGGACTCCAGAACCTAAAATGTCATAAAGGTATCAGAATCATCTGGTTTTGTGTCTTACAGTCGTGTTATTAACTTGGGATCGAGACTCTTGTACGGCATGCTCCCACAGAGCCTCTCAAAGTACGAAGTCCTTAAACCACCATTTTTCCTGGCAATATTCGAGCGGATCCAACGTGAATGATTCCCCTGTGCACCAGTTATTACGACAGCAGTCTTCTCATTTGCCAGATTAGCTAGAGCTACCATAGTCTCTGGTTCGGTGGCAAAGGAGGCATCCACCAGAAAAATATGACTAAAATGTCCAGCCACAATGCCTTCATTGTGCAGCCGAAAGCTACTCATGAAAGTGGATAGAATCACCTTGAATTTCCGGAGCTCCTGAAGCGAAGGACAAGAAAAACACTCCCCTTTGTAGAGACAGGAGGGGAGGATGTCATAAGGTACTCCATCCAACTCTCGGAATGCAGCATTGGCTCTGAACATATTAGACTCTGGAATCTCCTTCTTCAAGCCTCTCATAAGCACATCACATGTCCTATTTATAGGCGCACATATAAGAATCCGACAAGATGGGAATGTTCTATAAATTTGGATTACAGCTTCTTGAACAACCATTCCAGTTCTTGATAATTGTTCTGAACCAGCTACAAAAAGCGAGCCCTCCACTAGATAAGGTGGGGTGGCGTCAAAGCTTAAAATCTGCTGAACGGCAGAAAGTTGCTCCCTGTCAAGCATGTGATTGATAGGAAGAACTTGAACTGCATATGAGCTCTTTCTAGGTACAGTAGGGAAGAGGAAGTTCTGGAACAAAGGATCTGATGCAGCTGCAATTGCTTGGTAAGCCCGTTTTAAACAGACCCTGTTGAAGGAGAAACTCACATCATATTTGCAGGCTGAGTCATGCTGTGAATGAAAATCTTCTTCAAATTCAACTAATACTCGATTACTCTTCACCACACGATAGATAATACCCTATTTAAAAAGTTCAATGACAAAGTGAGTAGTGAGAAAATGAGATTCAAACACAAGCAAATTGAATATCTAAATTATGAAAAATAATAACAGGGCTATACTATCTTCCATCATTCAATATATCTTTCAGTATGTGATAGAAGTCCTAAGTAGGAAGACATTCAAATTCAACAAATTTTTATTTTTTTTAGTAGTTCATATCAGAAAGCCCTCATGTGTTTAATCAAAATTCAAAAACATAGAATTTGGGATTGAGTTCTGCTAAGAATGAAAATGAAAATCTTCCTCAAACTCAATTGATAAAAGAGTACCATCCCTACAGGATAGAAAATACCCTCTTTTGCATTTAAGTAGAATTTGAATAAGATGAACAATAAGATTCAAGCTAACTCTAATTGTAAATCTATAATGTAATTATACAAACTTTCACTATATATTAAACCTTCTAATATATGATACCATTCATAGAAGTTGAAATCGGATGGGCTAGCCCAGTGCACGAGACTCCCGCCATTGAAGGGGTTTGGGGAGGACCAAATGTCCGAAGCCTTAACTCTACATGGAGTGGTTGTTTCTGGTTTCGAATGCATGACCTCCAGGTCACAATGGAGAAACCTTACCATTGCGCCAAGGCCACCCATAGATTCCACCAAAAAAAATAAATCCTTTTAATTTGTTTATTTCAGAAAACCCCATTACTTGAACAAAAAATAAAAGACCCACTGACGCAAGACAAATAACCAGAAAGAAAGAAGGGGATGAGAAATTAGATGAATAGATAGACTAGAAGAAGAGGATGAGAAAATAGATGAAAGGGGGTGAGAACAGAATGAATAGATAGGCAGGATAGACTGAATGGGTGAGAAAAACAAGAACAGAAATGAGAGAAACAATAGAACACAGAGAGAGACTCAAAGAAAACGATAATCAATATTATCCAAAACTAAGTTCTCAAATTGCAAAGGGGCCTTTAAATAGGCAAATTATTAAGCAAGCCCTAAAACATAAAAACACCAAAGTAACCCTAAAATTCAAACATTATCAAAATAACAATAAGCATAAATAAAACCCTAAATCACTAAAATCCCCAAGTTTATTTCTCTTTCCCTCTTCTTCAAAAGTAATGTTGAAGCATGTGTAACTCATGTATTTGAATCATATCCCGTTCCCCATCACCTACCTGGTTCACTTTTCTAAGAATAGTTTTAAATTTGTTTAGTTGGGATGAAAACTGGTTACAGTAATACCTCAATTAAGAGAACTGTTTTTTGTAGTTATCAGAAAATTGCTTTTGAATTCATGAAAATTTTCTTCAAAAAACTAAACCAAACAAGCAATAATATGGGTTTTGAGTTTTTTTCCAAAAAAAAAAAAAAAAAAAAAAAAAAAAAAAAAAAAAAAATCACTATTCGTATTGGGATCATTGATTTCTCATAAGAAGTTCTTCAAGTGACTGAATACTTCATCTTTAATCTATGGCTCAGTGAAGCACAGTTCCATGTGGAAGCAATTATGTGCTCACATAGCAGCCCATCATGCATGTCGAGTAGAAAACAGATGTGAATGTTCACTCTTCATGAACTCTGGTCAGGTGAAGCAACCATTGAAATTTCTGATGTGAAACATTCAGACATGACAATAGGACAATTTCATGACAAGTTGGCTTCTTCTGAAAAGACTATCATATTTTTCTAAGTTTTGTCGCGAAGGAGCGATAATTAAATATCAGACACTCAATGCAAATGCCTTCTGCTATGGGTTAATAAGATTAAAATACAAAACATGAATGTTATGATGACTCCAGTCATCTCTAAACTTCAACCAAAGAAAGTAAATTGATATCATACCGATAGAAACTCAAAGGTCGATCCTTCTGCAGATACCCATGTGCTTCATCTGTAATCTAAACTGTGGTATATCCTCAAAAGTTGGTGGAGAAGTTCAGGAAGCTAACCTGAAATGGCTTGACTTTGCTGCCTGAAGGCCTCACAGAGGCAAAGTCCCTAGATAAAAGGAATGGCCGCCTCTCAGGAATGGAGTCAATCTCAAACGCTATGAAGACTTTATCATCCTTCTCATCAAACTTATTCAAGTCGTTGTGGTTGCCTTTCTTAGTATAAATTGATGCTTTGTCCAATTTCAGAGTCACATTCTCCATCTCGAATCCGTCCCATTTCTGTTCCAAATAAAAGCATGTTTTATTTCGTACCACCATACCAAAGCATAAAACTACAAGAATTAATAGTGTTGCACCCATTGCAATATATCCACGCCATTTCTGAAACTAAAGATTCCATGCAAGTGTAGAAGTATTATATATAAAGAAAAGAGATGATGTTGTATTGCAAGTAAGAAAAACAAAGATAGACATTCCAAAATATATGGTAAATCTCTTATTCTTTTATTGTCGGCTATATACGATCATCGAGAGTGGATCTACCTCCGGCAGCCCACCTCCATCCCCAACCATATCCCCAAAAACAAAACAAAATAAAATAAAACATTGAATTGTGGTCTTCATTCCAATAAGGATCCATCTCTAAGAATAATAGGATCATTTCCTTTCACCCAGAGCTTTTTAGGAGTCAAAATCACCTTAATTATTATTCTTTAAACATATAAAAATATGTTTTAGAAACATTTTTATGCATGCTTAGGCATGTGTCCTAACTGTGAGTACAAATCATTGTTTAAAACCAACTTAGCTCACCAAGGCATCTTCAATGGCATGAACGTCTTCACTTTGACATTCTAATTCACAAGACACTTAGGTTCATGAAAAAGGAAAACTAAAACGCAAGAGTTTTGAAAACAAAAATTTGCCAACACTAAGTCATTAAAGTGCTAACGTGATGAACCTACTTTTAAAATTGCCTCATCCACATGATGAATACCCTAAATATAACTGTACACACAAATTTTGTAAGTCTGCAATAGAAACAAAATATGGAGCAAAATAGAATTTTATTAATTTATGAATGTGGAGTACAGTCCTTTGTAATATCTTTTACAAAAAAAGAATGGTCCTCTGATTCGATCTCCTTATTTTTGGTTGGTTGGATCCAAGGGTTGCACGAGCTTATTCTTGAATCACTGCGGAATTTGATGAAGAACGGCACGTTGTTGGATGTGCTTGATGTTCTTCGCTTTTGGGTTTCGATTCTGAATTTGTGTGAGTCTCTGAATTTCTGAATTCTGAATTTGTGTCTGAATTTGTAGACTTCTGAATTCTGAATCCTCTCCCCTTTCTTCCTCCAGGCCTCTATTTATAGGCTTCTTGGATTAATAGGATGATGACACGTGTCATCTCCTGATAAGGATAAAACTATAACTAGGCCGGGCCAGTTATATTGTGATAATTATCCTTAAAGATAATTACTCAAAATATATTTTATTAGGAATAATTATCGTTTCATTTAATTATCTGGGCTGGGCTAATTAAATAATTAAAGTGGACCAAGTCTGGTAAATTAAATAATTTATTTAAACATTAGGCCTATATTTAATGGGTCCATTCGTTAAAACCAAAGCCCATTAAATTTTAGTGTCTACAAATTGCCCCCACTTCAAGTCCCAATTTTGACAAGACTTGTCTCTTTTTCCAAGTGGGACTTGAAGTTTCCTTTTTTTTTTTTTTTTTTCCATCTTAATTGTACTTTCCTATTTAAATTGAATTGTCCAAATCCCAATACAACTTGGAGGTATCTTGTTGCCTATATATACCCTCAATATTGTAGGGTTTGATATCAATTCCAAAAATCTCTGAAGACTTGTCAGATCACAAATAATTGGTACGTGTGTTTTTTTTTCTTCTTCTTCTTCTTTTTTTTTTTTTTTTTTTTTTTTTTTTTTTTTTTTTTTTCTCTCTCCACGCATGTAGGAAATTTATTTATTTATTTATTTATTTTAATTTTTTTTTCCCTCCACGCATGTAGGAGCACAATTTTTTTTTTTTTTTTTTTTTTTTTTCCTAACCCCCTTTTTTTCTTTGCAGGGCTTGATTGAGTATAACAACTTGATTTGTGTCAACCGTAGCAGAAATTGAGTCCTCCTTCTAGGCAACACCGATTTGAGCTTTGTTATCCATCATGGTGGTGTTCAAGTATTTCGCAAAGCAAAAGCTGACTATCTTAGAGAGCGAAAATAGTCAACGAGTCCAAGGAACGACATTAAGTGTATATGACTCACTTTTTGGTCGCAATGCTATTCAAGTGCCTGATTCTAACAATAAACATTGTTCATCTCATTGGACATGCACGGCCACATGCGAACTCACCGACTTTGGTCCTGATCAGATTAATGAAGAATCTATTGTCTCTAAAGCCTTGATACTAAATTCTTCACTTCATGAGAGAGTTGTTGAAGAAAACCAGTTTTCACTATTGGGTCTTAATGTTCAGGCGAATGAAATATCATGGAGTATTCCCTATAAACTTCCTGCTGAATTGCTATACACCGAACTATATTGGGAGTGGTTAGAAGATGTCTTGGCACGTTTCCACGACTTTCTATCAAAACAACAACTATATGGTGCTTTATTCGCCTCCCTATTTTCCTATGATCGTCATGAAGATGTATTCAAAGCATTCCTTGAATGTTGGTGCCCAGCCACTAATACACTTCATTGTTCTATTGGCGAGCTATCAATTTCTCTTCGAGATCTATATATGCTAGGTGGTCTCCCTCACCAAGGAACAATTTATGGTGAAGTTATTCCTTGTGCAGATGAACTATCAAGAGCTGGCAACAACAAAAATTCTATCCCTTTGAGTTGTCAACACCTATTTTTGGCCTTCCACAGACTTTCCAAGAAGTATAAAGGAGATCAGAATGTGAAGATATCTGACTGGATTAATTTCTGGTTTAAAGGTGCATCAAGACATGCCAAACCTTCAAAGAAATCAACAAAAAATAAAGTTCACCGCCCTATGAGGACTCAAAATCCGTCTGGTGTGATCCCTCCAGTCCGGTCGATGTCCACTAAAGAGAAAGAAGTATTTATCAACCTTGGTGTAGATGAAACATCGAGAGACACCACTTATCTAGCTGCTTCTTTAGCCTGTTGGCTCTGCAAATTTGCCTTACCTGCACACCCTGGCAACCTAATTCGTCTTGGGACTTTCAAGGTCGCAAGCATGTTAGTAGATGGCTGCAACATTTGTCTTTCCATCCCGGTTCTGGCCAGTATTTACAGAGGCTTGAACGAGATTGTTTCCACACCAGATCCTGGAAGCTGTCTGCGATATTTCCTATTCACTATGTATTCGGATGGTTGAGTGAATATTTCAGAACTAATTTCACCATTCCTAATACCAACTATTGGCCTAGAATGACATTATATGCAGGCAAAGGAGGAGCAAGACACTTTGACCATTTTGAAGCCCAAAATTTATTCAGATCATGTAAAGGAATAAACTTAACTCGAATGGCTAAAAGATCTTCAAAAGAGCGACTTATTGTAGATAATGGCGAGATGAAAAAGGCTGACTTTGACACCCTAATCAATCTTCGATCATGTTATTTGACATTGCGCCAAAATGACCGTCTTATCATTGAGCCGTATAGTCCACACAGATTTAGCCGACAATTTGGGTACCATCAAGATATTCCTGGAAAATTAAAAAATGACTTTCGTACTTGCACCTTAGAGGAATTTTTAAAGCATTGGAACTTATCCGTTCATTATTCTTCTGGTTGTGATGCGTTGCTTCCTTCAACCTTCAACCACCAAAAATCCTCAGTTACCAGAGCATATGCCAAATGGTGGTCCAGCGTATATATTGATCCATTTACACAGAAAGAAACTACCTCAAAGCAATTTAAACGCACGATTTCCCCACCAGAGAAACCAACTAAAATCAGGAAGGTTTTAATTAAGGGGCTGAAGTCAAATCTCCCATCTAAGCCAGTGCCAAAGTTAACCATCAAATCTCATAATGATTGTGACGTTGTTGGAGGATCTAGTAGCCATCACCAAACAGCAGAAAATGTCCCACCACTAATCAATAACCGTCGCCGTCGTCAGTTGTCAATGGAGTTAGATGAGGATGTGAAAGCTTATAATGAGGATCGTAACTGGAAGCATGTCACCGACAAAGTGAGACTTGATTCAGTACAGGAATGTGTTGCCACTTCTCTTGATCAATTTTTTACTGGGGTACCTAGTTCACAACCTATACAGGTAACTGTTATTTTATATATATATATATATATATATTTTTTTTTGTACTGCAAATTACCATTATTTATTATTATTATTTTTTTTAATAGATAAAAAACAGCAAGGGATTTCTTGGGGAAGATGTTGTCATTGTTGCTAACCCAACATGTAGTGAAGAATCTATTTATGGACCGTCTTCCTTAGAGTTGGCCACTGCGATAGGAAAAGGTACAGAGATTTCACTACAAAGAAGCAGAGTTAGTTAACACTCGGATGTTTTGGGGGTTGCTGAAGTGACTAGTCAAGCTATGGAGGTGGTTGAAAATATTGGTAAAGATCATGTAGTTATCCTTTCTTTGATTTTAAGAGAACAGGGTCCACCCTTGCATCGTGTTGCCCCTTCTGAAATGTCAATTTTCAATGCGGAAGAGATCATTCTTGATGTTCATCGTCGTGCTGCTTTATTCTTTATTGATTTCATAAAGAATATCATACGCGATACTCCTACCGATAAAATACCGTCTCGAGCACCTAAACTTCAAACACTTTATGAAGGACTCGCAAAACTCCCTGGAGACCATTCAGCTTTGAAGAGGCGAATTGACTCATATACCAATAATGCGGCCAATTATATTACTACATCTTCTTTATATGCCTGTATGATGACTTTAGACTCTCAATCTCAACGATTGGCCAGTATTGATGCACAGCTCACCAACGCTAGGTCTATAGAAGATGATGGTGCTAAGCATATAGAATCACTTCAATCTAGTTTGAGTGAAGCTGAATTTAAAGAAGCTAGATTAGTGAAAGAATTGCAAGAAGCCAGGGAAGAGACTCAAGGGCTTAAAGTCCTCATATCGACAACGGATGCACAGTTATCTCAGAAGAAGGAAGCCATCACCAAACTTTGGGAAGATCAAAAATCAATAGAAGAAGCTAACGTCATCTCGAATCGCGATCTTGAAGTAGTGAAGCAACTGGAAGAGATATTATGGCAAGAACGTGACGAAATT